ATGTGTATACTTTGAGAGTGGATTCTATGAAGATATATACTGTTGCATAAGGTTTCTTCTACCATTGATTTGCATTTTGGAACATGTTGTTCTGCTGTAAATTAGAATTTGCTCTAGGGTAGATAGGTATTATAAGTTCTGGTAACTGATAATTTGATACAAACCTTCTAAAATTACCACAACCCGAAATGCTTCCTTTTGTTCAGCAAATATATATATCCTCGTTTTTAATTTTCTGTTTAGTTAGCTTGATTTTTTTTGATTGTTCATGTCCTCATTATTATTTCACCTACCTACATCCCATATTAGCAAGAGACGTTTCTGTACAACTTGTGTACTACTCCACCATTGTTCCCACGGAAGTACTAGAGCTCTGGTGGCAGTACGATTTTCTCCAAGATGACAATAACCTATTTTATTACACCTCAGTTAGAAACTTCAGTTCCTTACTCTTCCACACTCAAGGCTAGCTCCCTTTAAAGTTACATTTTATTAGAGGGACTTCTAAGCAAAAAAAGCAAGGGAACTTAATCTCTAAAGGAATTAGCTTTCTGACACCTATAGATGTTAAGATTTTTTTTGTTTTAAAGTCCATCTCTGTTTAACGTCCAGTAAGCTGCAGTTACAGTACCATATTCTCTTTTTAAAGATTAAAGAACATATAGCATTGAAACTACGCTAAATGGAAAACTGCAGGCTGGTGACCCACAAACAAATGTAAGCACAAATGATGGCACATCTGCGTTCCTGATTCTTTCCGTAAACCGCACTATTTTTTTAGCTACTGTTTTGGCACTTTCTTCTGGCTGAGCTGGAGTTCAGACCATGGCTAATCTGTGGTCATAACATAACAAGAGCAGAATGTGAAGAGACTTTACTCTTTCGCAGCATGGTTGTGGCAACTGAACATTTACCTTCAGCTAAACCCTGGGGCAGGACTAGGAACTTTCTTACCAAACTTTCTTAGTAGTCATAGTGGAAGCCACAGATTTACCAGTTTTTTCCATGCTTTCTACTGTTGCACCTGCCTGTTCAGCCAAGTGATTAGGTTGGATGAAGCGAGTGGTTTTATTCATGACAATTTGACCAGAACTTATTGGATCAGGTAGGAAAAGAGCAAGTGTGTACCCATGTTTCATTTTGTTTTTCTAGTCTACTTAAAATCGCAGTTTGACAGCTTTTACTTTCAGTACCCTGCTGCCTTTATGCCTAAATGCATTCAGCTGAGCTATTGTGTTCATTTATCACATTCTGGTACAGTTTGTTCAGGAGATGGAGTTCACACAGGGTCCTGTACAATGCTGATAATTGACTTTTGTGGGAAACAAGGAATTTAGATCTACCCCAAGAGTGCCAAGCTTTATACAAGTCAATATGACAAAGTTTCCTCCAGTCAGTCACAAAAGGCTGCAGTTCTGAAGGCTGGAAACTTGACACAGAAACTGGAAATAATCAATCAGATTTCTTACAAATGGAACCAGTTATAATATATATGCCCACTATATATATAAACTGGTTAACCAAGAGTACGTTAATCCCCCCAAAAACTGCTCCCCGCTCAGAAATTCTTGTGCCTGTTGAAGGGACACCTGTGAGACAAAGAATTAAGAGTCCTGTCATGAGGGGCTGGAAAAGGAACTGAGACCTTAGGGATACCTTCCTCTGAAGTTCGGGTGTAAGAGACCAAGTCTTAATCTGTATTCTGTGTGCGTTGCTAATCCACTCCATTGTAACTGATGCCACTTCTGGCTGTGTTATGATCGATTTTCCTAGAAGAGTTTGTACTTCTTACAGTCCTTAATTTAGCTTGTATGTTAAGCTGGTGAATTCAACAGAATTCATTACTGAGAAGTTGTGGGGCCTCTATCTAAGATCCTGCTGAACCTTTCAAAATGGAAGTGAAGTTTGATTCCATTCAGTTCATTTCATCGTGTTAAGAAGTGACTCTGTGACTTTATTTACCCCTGGAGATGAAAACATGGTCTGCATGGGCTTTAAATATCATACGTTCTAGCTACAAATATGGTGCAGGCATCAACAGAGATACTCTAATTTAGGAAGGTTTTCCAGTATATTATTTTCTCAAATTTTTAACCTGTTTCGGTAAAAATAGCTGTATTTCGTCTTGATGCCTGTAGCTGAGGATAGAAACAAGAAAAGCAATAACATGTACTTCTTTGCACACTGTTTATAGAAGAAGGGAGAGACTCATGTCTTGCTGATTATAGGTATTATGCAATTGAAGCAATTTTACTCATGTCTTTGAAGTAAAGGCACAAAATTTCATTTATTTTTCTCTGTTTTGTTTTTAAATAATGATTTAATTTTCAATTAAATAAAAAAGGAGGTTCAAGTTTGAAAGGTAGAACATTCATACATTTAAAAAATTATAATACTGTTCTTGAATCTTTTATTCTGTTTTACTTTGAATCTGTGTTACGGGAGTTTGCAATTTCATGATCATGTGCTGTTTTTAACAAAGATTTATGCCAATTTTTCTGAAAATTGTTCGATTAATGATGTAAAAATGTGTAAAAGCTCAAATCAAGGTCAATCAAAAGCATTTCGGGATTTAGGCTAAAGCTGGCAAATATTGAATACCATACCAAACAAAATCAGGCACAATAGTCAAAATGTTTTGTTTCAGTATTTTCTGAAAAAGAACAGTGTGATTTTTTCCATTTGCTGCAATACTTCAATTTTAAGAAGAAATTTATTTGACATTTCAGTGAATTGGAACATGCTGCCTAAGAAAGAGAAAAAAAAGCTTTCTGTTTAAATATTTCCAATCAAACATCAGTTATTTTAAGTCTGCAAGAAGAATTCTAAATGTAGGGGAGGAGGGCACTGCATAAGCCACCCAACTTACAAAATCTCTTACTTACATACATATGTTGAGGCCTTGCTCAGTGTCCAAAGTGTGAAATGAGGCAGTGATACGGGATAAGCGAAACAGAAATTCTTAACATTAATCTGTCGGTTACTGCCTGATGTGGATGCTTGGCAGTGTATAATATAAAGCACACGGTATGAACCATTAAACCCAAGACATACAAATTGCTAAGGCATTGAGTAGCTGTTTGAGCATAAATGAAGGAGTCACCATGCAGGAAGGCTACAAAATCCTCATGCATAGGAGGAAACATCTCGTATGTGTAAAGATTTTGTACCTTAAAACTTTTTTATGACATTGACTGTAAGTATTTTGTACCAAATATTATCATAGAATCATAAAATGGGTTTGGGTTAGAAGGGACATTTAAAGGCCATCTAGCCCACCCCCCCTGTCATGGGCAGGGACATCTTCAACTAGACCAGGTTGCTCAGAGCCCCATCCAACCTGACCTGGAATGTTTCCAGGGATGGGGCATCAACCAGCTCCCTGCACAACCTGGTCCAGTGTTTCACCACCCTCATTGTAAAAAATTTCTTCCTTATATCCAGTCTGAAATTCTGATACTCACAGTTGTGATACTGCAAAAATATTTGCAAAGAAGTTTGCATGCAGAGCCCAGTAGCATCATGCTGTTCACTGGCCAGGGATCATTTCAGCAATCATAAACACCTGACCAATATCTACTTTTTAAGCGCTTTATGGAGAAATTTTCTTAAATAAATGATCATATTTCCCAGATAGTCAGTGAAAATAGATAGACACTTCCATGCACATGCAATGTCCCTGTGGAAAGCTTTCCAAGCCAAATAGGAAACATTGGCATTAGACCCTTAAAAATCAGGAAAAAGTTAAGCACTTTGAAAGCAGTGAGTCATGCCCACAACTTTTGTTTTTATTTTTCTCACAAGGGTTGATGAGGCTGACTAATTGTAGCAGTCATTTCATGGCCCTACGTCATTTCAGTTTTGACAAAGAACAGAAATTATGAATATGAAAGCTGCACGTGGCAGAACAGGCACGTGCTTAGAGCTGTCTTTATCTCTCTCAGAGCAAGGTTATATCTACACAATGTTGTATACACAGACCTCAATGAGTAGACAAATTGCAGCACTGTTCAGCTGGGTAAATACTAAGCTGTGGTTAGTCTAATACAGAGCTCTGTGGTACCACGCTTCCATTAAAGCAAGTGCAGGACTAATTCAGGTAAATCTGTATTGAACTAATAGGGCACAGCATCACCGGCCGGGCAAAAGAGGGGATCACCCTGCTGCAGGCAGTGTTGGTGCAGCCTCACCTCGAGTGCTGTGTGCAGTTCTGGGCCCTGAAATTTAAGAAGGATGTGCAGGTCCTTGAATGCACCCAGCAGAGGGCAACAAGGCTGGCGAGAGGGCTGGAAGGAATGTCCTGTGAGGGGTGGCTGAGGGCTTTAGGCTTGTCTGGTTTGGAGGAAAAGGGGCTGAGGGGCAACCTCATTGCTCTCTGCAGCTTCCTGAGGAGGGGACGTGGGGCAGGAGCTGTTGAGCTCTTCTCCCTGGGACCCAGTGACAGGACACGTGGGAATGGTTCAAAGCTGCGCCAGGGGAGGTTCAGACTGGAAATCGGGAAGCATTTCTTTACTGAAAGGGTGGTCAAACACTGGAAAAGGCTTCCTGGAGAGGTGGTCGAAGCCCCAAGGCTGTCTGTTTAAGAGGCATTGCGACAATGCTCCTAACAACATGCTTTAACTTTTGATCAGCCCTGAAGTGGTCAGGCGGTTGGACTACATGATCCTTGTAGGTCCCTTGCAAATGAAATAGTCTATTCTGTTCTATTCAGCTACAGCTGTAGGGTTGGCAGATCCCCATGCTGTGTGCCAGGCTCTGATATTAACACTTCTCCACTACACAAAAGAGAGCTTGACCCATCTTTCAAATCTGGCTTCCTACAGGTATAGTCATCTACTTATATGCACATAGAAAGAATTTAAATCTTGCCTCATTGTACGTAAGGAATTGGAAGAATAATTATTCATTAACAATACTGAGTTTCATTTTAACAGCATGTTAGTCTGGCTTATGCATTTGTTTAATGTGTCTTCTCTGTCCCCTCCCATTTTTCCTGACAGACCTTTTACGGTGGCCACAAATCAGCAAGTGCAGATCACCTGAGCTGGAGACATTTTCATGTTATTGGACTGATGGAAATTTTTATAATCTCACTGCTCCAGGAACAATACAACTATTGTACATGAAAAGGTAATAATATGGAAGGAACAAAAGAAAGAGGAAAAGAAAGAGAAGCCACATATTTTGCTGCGTTAGCTTGTTGCTATTAATTTTTTGCTATGATATGAGGCATGTTGTTTTTTAGGGCATAAAACTGTGTTTTAAGTGCCTATTTTTCAATGTCAAAATCTGTTGCTAATTATTAAGCAATTTGCAGCGACAGGTGTTACTTAGCAGATAATGAAGAACACGTTCTTACTAAATTTAGTTCCAGGTTGCACAATCCAAAACTGAACACTGTATGGCTTGGGAAAGGAGTTTTTGATGGGGAACTTCAGTTTATTCCTTATACCTAAGGACCTAACTTGCATCTGTGAGATGTGTTGTTTCTGTGCACAGATGTGGAGTTTGGATGCAAGCCCCTTCAAATTTGTATTAAAGTTTTACAAAGCTCCCATTGATCAGTTGCTAGATTAAGTTCTGAATGTGCAGGTCCAGGTGAAAAGGCTGCTCTGAGACCGGGGATGACGTTTCATTGAGCCCTGTTCAATTCTGATTCACAGTCCACTTAAACTTTTGTAATTTTCAGGTTGTTACAATGATTAGCCTGGAAGAGGACACAGGCATTGCCAGTAATGCCTATTAAGGAAAACAGGCCCTTTGTTCACAGGAATAGGAGGATATGAGTTTCTGTTCCATCTAATGTGCTGGGTTTCAACCTTTCTGACCTACAGACACTTTCTATTGGTGATGATACATTTGCTTAGCAAACAAGCCTAATGGCAAGGCTGACTTTCTTACTTACTCTTCTGAGACCTCTCAAATACAGGGATCCAAGTTAAAACCACTATTTAAGTGTAAATGTTTAGCTGACAGTTGTCAATGGCACGTACTATGAATTAAAAATTAATTTTAATTAAAAATTAACTAAACTCTATGATAAAGCAGTGCCACGTATGTTGAGCAGACCACATATTTCATCTTTGTTCTAGGAGTCAGAATACTGCAATAAAAGGTGTGAGTTGAACATCCACATTAAAAATATTTCTGTTTCAATATGCAAGCAACATTTAAGGCTCAGGGCTGAACTCTGTCATCTAGCCCAGTCTTCTACTTAACACAAGGCATAGATTCTAACTGCTTACAACTTTGTCAAGTCCTGACTCTGGCAGATCTACAGCATTTCCTTTAGAGAAGTGTTTGCTCTCATCAGCTAAGCACAAGACCAGTGATTGCTAGCAGAAATGCTTCTTACTCAATTTATGTAGCATCTACGATTACTTCTTAAGCACTTACCCCAGTACTGAAGGCCACACTTGGCATAACTGATTTAGCTTAATCCTTCTTCTGGACAGCTTCAACAGCTCTTAGTAAGAAAAAGGCATTTACGTTATACTTTTAACAAACCAAGATGATAACTTGGATGGATCTTTTTTAAAAGATCCCTATTCAGTCTATATTTGGGCTGATAGTATCGAGATAAAGAACAGCAACAGCAGGTCTGTTCGCTATGAGATTTGTTTTTCTGAAGTGACTTCAGAAATACTGAATAAATGTCCATCACTTTTCCTGTAGACTATTTCTAACAATTTGGTCATTCCCATTTTGCTTTAACTGAAGACTTTTTTGGTTTTGAACCTGCCGAGTAGTTTCAGCTTGGCCGTATGAAAATGACCCTACACAAGCAGCAGTGTTTCTCAGTGGAAGAGTTCATGCCACTCTTTGTAATTCTTCTGGTTTGTCTTTTTGAAGAGATGAAGTGAATGTGCTATTTCCTGCTGCAGTTCTTTTATTTACAAAGAACGTTTATGAATTTTTGAACAAAGTCAGAACAGAAAAACCTAAGAGGTTTCTTGCTCGTAGTTCCAAGCCTGTGTTTGAGGAGTTCTGTATCCCAAGGAATTTAACTGTTCCTCACCCACAGCGCTGTGCTCCCCTTCGTTCATGCCCTGCAGCCCTGGGTTGGTGTGTGCCAGGTCTCCTGCAGCATCCACCCTCGGGCACTTTCTGGTGTGAGCGATCAGTGCTTCAGTGCCTCCACCCCGATTCAGCTCCCCAGGGCGACGCACTGCCCTGTCCTGGGCTTTGCAGGTGGTGCAGTACTGATTAACTTTGCCTAATTTGGTGCTTGCTGGTAGTCATTAGCATCTGGCAGCATGGCAAGGTGTGCTCTCGGACTGTTCTTTTGGAAGCAGCGTCCAAAGCATGGAGATGCCAGTAACAGTACGTGGGAACCTAAACTCATTTATGCAGATTGCTTGGATAGTTACTTGGTTTCGTTGCAAATCACTGTCGATATCAACATGTTTTCCTCACTTCCGTAAAAGTTATGACTTATCAACAATGTGTTTTGTAACATCTATAATTTGTACTTTGTAAGATCGATAAATCTCTTCTTGCTCATGCATATGACATTTTTGTTGTCGTTCTAGGAATGATGAAGACTGGAAAGAATGCCCTGATTATATCACTGCAGGAGAAAATAGCTGTTATTTCAACACATCCTACACCTCTATTTGGATACCATATTGTGTTAAGCTTGCCAATAAAGATGAAGTATTTGATGAAAAATGTTTCAGTGTTGATGAAATAGGTATGCTTCCATTATGCATTTTACCTCCATATTTTTGTATCGCAATTGATGTGATGCTATAAGCTTTTGTATTACTCATACTGTATTTAAATCTTCCCTCTCAGAAAGGTTAGTTTCTAAAAAATATGATATATAGGAAGGGATTTGATTTTGTAACATATGTAGTGTGATCCACACCAGAAAATATTGCCCTGGTTGAAAGAAAACTAAAAGGGTAAAAGCAAATATGTGGTTTTTGTTTCTCAGTACCACTGGTCTCTCAAGTGTGTGCAGATGCGTTTGCCTTTGCTGTCACTCTGAGCCCTTTCTAATGGGTGCTACATACCCTTGCTCAGTGTCAGCAAGGATAGCATTAAAATCTTGGTTCTGGAATGTTCTGGAACCAAACAGGGTTTTGTTCCTGAATCAACACAAACCTACAGAATCAGGACGTTTAGCATTTATCAGCTAGAATTTGTATGTATTGCAACATGAATTGTGACTGACTGGGACTTCCAAGATGTTACTACTTGTTCAGAGGAGTGGTGTATGTATGTGCAATTAATTTATTCCTGCCAGTGAACAGAATACCCACTGCTGTCTTTTCTTCAGCTGAGCAAAATTGGATTAATTTTTCAGATACCATAGTTTTTCAGTGTACTTCCATATTAGTTAGTAAATATTTAACTTTCTGTGTTACTCCAATTACTGTTTTTATTTCTAGTGAGAACTCTAAATCTTGATGGATGATTGTTTATGTCTCAGTGTTTTGTAAGTTGCTATTGGGAAATGCAGCATAGTAGGTAATACATTCTTAGTCTTCTTTATTAGTTACTCACGTGAGATTTATGCAGAGTGTGTTTACTGCCAATGGCAGGGTGCCTTCTTGTTACCAACCTTGTAGTGACTTTGTCACTGAGTCACAGGTTTAGATTTTAATCAGCAAATATATGATTAATATGCTTTTTTAGTCCTGAAATCATTTAACAGTGTATAGTAAGAATGGTCATTTCACATTCCAAACTGGCTGTTTTATTCCAAATACTCTGTTTAAACAGTCCTACCCGATCCTCCTGTCCACCTTAACTGGACTCTGCTAAATACTAGTCAAACTGGGATCCATGGGGATATCCAAGTAAAATGGGATCCACCACCAACAGCAGATGTTCAGAAGGGATGGATTACTCTGGAGTATGAACTGCAGTACAAAGAAGTTAATGAGACAAAATGGAAGGAGGTATGAAGCAAATATTTATTATACAATAGTCATAGTATAGTGCAGGCTTGTTCTGTCCCTAACACTTCTGTACTACTATGAAAAGCAACAGGTTTGTAATTGCTGATTAGATGTTACCTTAAGTCTTAAAAAAAATACCCATATTCTTCTGAAGTTTTCTAGAAACATTGTAACTTTATGTGTCAAGACAGCTGGCACACAGGATAATAATAACAAACCCTGAAATCGCTATGTTAGATTAGAAAGTATAGGAAGAGTCAGATATATACAAGTTTTTTCAAGGATAAAATATTTCTTTACTGTTTTCCTAAACCTCAGCTATTTGAAACAGTGCATGGTATTTTTAGTAGTTGCAACAGGAATATTTTGCTTGGAAAATGTCACCATGTCAGTCCAGATTCTTCAAGATACCTGTAAAGTTCTAATACTTAAAATTATCATTTCAGTATATTAAAAAAAGGAAAGAAAAGCTTTGATTTATCATTTAATATTTGATACAAGGAACAAATAAAAATAATGCAACATAGTTAAGACATACAGATTTCATACCAGACATCAGTGGGAAACTTGTGACTCTATGGATTGTCCATGAAAATATAAAATACATATACCCAAAATCTTTTAAATTTTCTTTCTGAAAATCACTTAACTTCTCATGTAGTTAGTTTTCCTGTTATGGGGAAGAAATTATACACAGTTTATCTGAACGCATAAGCTAAGTGCCAGTGAGTGGTGGCGTATTTGCAAATGGAGAACACATCCTGAATACCAGTTCAATGCAGTGAGAACATCACTTCAGAGCAGAACCTCTCCTTTGCTTTCTTATTAATATGAACTGAGCTAACTGACAGAAGGAAAGCAGGTAATACTGTTATGAATTTGTATTAATCTACAAAAGGCAAATTTACCAGTTGCAACAGGTTCGCTTGCCTTAATCTGTGAAAGACCTTGGACCCTTCCTCAGCTCTGATCCTTCTCAATGTTAGCATTTTCTGTTTATTTAACTCTATTAAAGTCCACAGCCAAACAGGCCTATAATCTCTGTAACTTTTTCGTAATACTTGAGTATCTCTCTATACTGGTTCAAGCTATATTTACTGTACAGCCTCTATATTTGAAAGCTTATGAAATGAGTTAGTTTAGGCAGTAAATCAGTACTCACTGAGAACTTGAAAATCTGCAGAGTATTTACAGGATTTACAAAATTAGGTGGCAATACGGATACCTCTTTAAAAATGCACATTTTTTATTTTTTTACAAGCCTTTAGGTATCAATCATATAAATACCCTAATAAACCTTGATTCTTGCTCCAGTACCACCAATAATTCCAGCATGCCTTGAAAATAGTTCTTCTCAAGACAGCAAAGGTTTGAAGATCAGTGTTTCTTCTTTCAGAAAACAGACAAGGAATTGCTGAGTACTATACTTGCCTAAAGAAAAATAGTACTGTAGATTATGTTATACTGGAGCTGTACATATTGTATGTTATTTTGCCTTTCAGCTTAAAAGCATAAACATGGCATTATTCCCTGAGACACTATCTGAGCACAAAAGAGAAATTTCTGAACAAAATTTTGGTCTGGCCTAAGACAATAGCAAAACTCTGAATCAAACAGCATTGGAGCAAAAATTTCACTCTTTGCATTCTTTGCTACAAATACCTTCTGTAATCAGTGTTGAAGCAGTAAAGAGATAAATGTCTAGTTGTACTGTTATTACTAGTTTTTTACACAATAGCTATACAGACACTGTGAGGCTGCTGTGTTTTTCAAACAAGGTGTGAAAACATGTATCATCTGAGCGACAGTGAAGAATGATGACTTCATAGTGAAGTGTCTGTCTATGAAGCGCCTAAAAGTATATGTGCAATAGGGAATCCTGAAAGTCTAATTCTCCTTTATTTATTTATTTATCATATTTTAGATTGACCTGATCTTTTGGCTTACTAGAAAAAATCCGAACAACCCAGGCCCAGATCGACCTAATATGGGATGACATTGGTGATCACAGCTCAGTCCTCAGTGAAGAGGGCTGGACCAGGGAGGACTCTGCTGGCTCTCATTATATGGTTGATTTTTTTCTAGAAAAGGTCCATTTCACACTGCAGTAAAGTGCACTTAGGGCAGGGAAGCATGGAGTACTAACTCCAGAGCTGAACACCATCACTGTGTCCACACAGCACTGTGGCTGAGATACAGGGCGTACTAGTTTGAGAGACGCAAAACTCATCTCCCTGCGCTGCACTGGATGTACAGCCCAATACCTCCATGAGTTGTATGGGTGCCCAGCCCTGCACTACGCCTACCCAGGGTTCCTCTGAACCTTTCCCTGATACTGCTCACCTCCCAGTTTTCACCATTTTTCTCATAAAGCTGGTGAAGGCCATTGCCTTGGTTGCTGTGTTGCCTGCCACGCCTGGGCCAGCCTCTGCCGTCAGTGCCCGCATCCCAGTGTCCCCGGGGCTCCAGCTGAGCAGTGACAAGCAGTTGCTCTGCGGTCTGTTAACCCGCTCTAATGGGGCCAGGCTCATGCAGGCAGCACAATCACACAGCTCAGCGTGACAGCAGGTTTGCCACACGTTTCTTTAGTATGGCAATCACAAGCATCACTCTGTGTACAGTGACTGAAGAGCTGCAGTAAGTCCAGCAACCCAGCGGTCTGGTTCCAAGCTCCCCTTCACGTACTTTAAAGGCGTTTGATATACGTTGTCATGCATTTTTATCATGCCTCTCTCATATGGCTTTTAATTGATTTAATCCATATGACAAATGCTATTCATCTGTTCAGTTCATGCTGAACCTTCCCCAGTCTATACGTTTTGCTCCATCCATGTATCTTATGTAAAGTTTTGTTAGTTCATTGATGGCCTAAAGACATTCCTGCCCATTAATCAATTATCTGTTCTTCAGCAACTCCTGCAATTTCAGGTACACAGCTACAGTAATTTTACCTCATATTTTTCAGGGCTCTAATTTAGCCTACATACTGCTTTTTCCAAGTGCCACCATTATTTGGGTACATAAAATTTTATGTGGTCCAGCATCCCTAAGAATCTCCACTAATTATCTCAGAAAAGAAGAAAAACAAACAAAACAACCAAAGGAAAAAAAAAAAAACTACCTGTAAAACTTTAGTGTACTATTTCTTTGTGGCCTCATAGCATGAAATAAGTAAACTGGACTACTATGTATTATATTCCCTTTCCAACACTTTCCAACTGGATAGCCTTCAGATGTTAAAAACCTCTGTGGAGTAGAGGTTCTCCATGACCTTGTGCTCAACCACTAGCAGAGAAAAGCAGTCTGTCTGGGATCACTGCATCCTCCAAAATCTGACTCGTTGATTCTCAGAACGCTTGAGTCTTGAGCTGCCAGGGATCAGAGAACTCCGCAGATCGTAGCTACCAGTAGAACGTGTCTCAAGTTTAGATTATGCAGCTACAGGGATTATAGGGTGGTATTGTTGAAGGTTCCTTCAAATCCCCAATGGCTGTTGCAGGTGTTTTAATTCTTAGCTCTTGAAAAGTTTTGCCAGTATCATCCTTGATTGCGAAGTGAAAGTAGAATATAGCATCTGCTACTTAGATTTCTATTTTAAGCACATTTTCCTTATTTTTATATACTTTTGTTGGGCTGTTGGAGCTAAAATACGTATTCTTGGAGGAGTAATAGAAGAGATAGATTTCACATATTAAGACTTCTAACATGACTTCCTACATAGTTTGATATGCATCAATATCTGCGTATGTTGCAGTTCATACTTAATGTAGAAGTCTCAGGACTGACAATCCAATGCCAGCTCTCACAGAGTCTCCATTACCACATTTTACGTATAGTTGAAGATTTTTGGAGCTATGCAGTGTTCCTCAAATAAACACATTTGCGGGATGCAATACATCTGGTTAGAAGGCCTTCAAATCATTTTTCTTCTTAAAATTAATTCTGTAGTGGAGACTGCACTAGTTTTAAGACTCCTGTGTTATTTTAACAAGGTTTTTGGCATTGTGAAGTCAGTAATGTGGTGTTATAACAGTAAAAAGGATTTACAACTTGGTAAGATCAGTGGGAGATGTTCACACCACCTACTTATGGCATACAACTGGGGGCAGCTGCCTTTCTTCACTAACTGTATTTACAAAGAGTTTGGATTCTTCACGTTTGGTCTGCTGAATCACAGCAAAGCTTGCTGGCTAGTGAGCTGAAAGTAAATGGTGTGAATTTTCTCTGAACACTTCTTGTGGTATCCTGACAGTTCCAAGTAGCAAAAACACCTTCAAATGTTTATTTCTGAAATCAAGAAGCAGTGTAAAACTGCCAGTACAACTCAAACAAATAAATCATAGTCCTTCTGTCTTTACAGTTAGAACCCAGACTCTCAACAATGGTTCCACTGTACTCTCTGAAGATGGGAAGAGATTATGAGATACGAGTCCGATCAAGACAACGTACCTCCGAGAAATTTGGGGAGTTCAGTGAAATCCTTTATGTATCTTTTTCTCAAACAGGCATTGAATTTGTTCATTGTGCTGAAGGTAAATAAGCAAAGTGCAGCAAAGTGTTTTTATAACCATGCTGTCTTTTTGTCTTTCCAGTGTTGTTCGATTTTTTTTTCTCCTTACTGTTGACGTTGTGTGCTTGAATAGATTGGTAATTCAGCCTACTACATGAAAATCATTTGGTGAGATGGAGAATGTACAAGTTCCGTATACAAGTTCATAAGTAAACTCAGCAAGGCTGTTTCACAGCTCATCAGAGAGCAAAAATACAGATAGCTTTAAGAATCAGAAGTAATAACTGCTGTTGCACATCTGACGGAGCCTAAAATACTGTTTAATCTCATACTTCACCATCTAAAATGAGCATTCCAATAGTGAAGAGAAGAATTGTCACTTCTATTAAAGTGCTATACTGCTGGCTAAGTTTGTTATCAGACTGATGTGCTTTTCTGATCTGCCCAGTACTATGAAGAACAGTGAGTGTTTTTCTGATTCTTGCTTCTGTTGTGTACTTGTTCTTAAAGTGCTGTTAAAGACAGAAGAAGAAACAGGCATTGAGCACCATATTTCTTCTACTAAAGAATGAGACAGTGCCTTTTCCTAAAGCATTCTCAGTCTGAGCTACTAATTTAACTCTTCAAAATCTGAGCTCTTTGGCAAATTATTTTAACAAGCTGCTTCACTTCATTTTCCACAGTACTAGTGAAGATGTTAAATAAAACTGCTCATAACTTTTATTTTTCAAAATCTTGCTAGATTCCCCTTTTTAACTCTTCATATTACTAGTTTTCATTCCTAATTGATATGAACAGCTAATGTTCTGGACATGTGGCATTGTTTTATGAACCCTAGCTGCATTAAGTTGTCAAGGTTTTCATATGAACAAAATTAAAATACTATGAAAATCTCAGGCCATCCTACAAGTACAGTTTTCTTCAGTCAACATAACACAGATTCTGCAAGCTGGTCCATATACATACATCTCACAATGATCTGATTTGATTGAGAATCTATAGGTTTGTATATCACCTTTAGGAACACAGAATTAACATTTTCCATGTATTAACAATTTTAAGTAGTTAACTTTAAATGCAGTAGTCTAACTTTCTGAAGCAACTGGACATTCGCAGGTTTCACTGACATGACAAGGAGTTACTGGTTCTCCATTTAAATAGGGACCTGTCTAACACAGACATATGCACATAGAACTTTACTCATGTCTGAAACACGTCCAGGCAAAATCTAAGCTTGGAGCACAGGCCTAAAACTGGTACCTGAATTTTAGGTTGGGTTTTTTTTGGTCCTTGAAAGGACATATATTTATGTTCATGTACAGAGATTCCAGATTTCCTTTACCCAAAAACAGGAGTGAAGTTTGTATGGAAAACTTAAAATTGGGAGCAAATGAGAAGAATCTAAGACTACAGACAGAATAAATTTCTCTGTACTTTGTATTCTAAAGTGTCAGCTTAAGTATAATGGAATTGCCAAAATGCTAGTATTTAAAAGATAAAACATTTCATTTATCAGTGTTATTCTTCATTCCTACCAAACTGCATTTCTTAATGACCTAAATTCTTTGTAGCCACCTGCAAGGTACAAAAAAGGGAGAATTATTTTTTTTCTCCAGTTGATGGTTCACAACATAATTAATGCTTGGCCTTTAAAAAGAGGAGTGGTATGCTTTTTAACACAATCATATTTTAGTTTCTGTGAGAGAAGAATATTTTGCCTGTGGTTTAGTATGCTATTAATAATGTTCTCTCAGCTTGCGCGAACAAGCAGTAACATAGTCTGCAGCATTATGTGCCGTCAGGACTACTGGTAGCGTGTTCCAAGCAGGCAGAATATTCCTCGTGGCTGGTTTTACTACATGCATTGTCTGCATCTTGTTTATACTTAAAAACTCAATCTGTTTTTGCAAGGAGTCTCAGTGGCCTCACAAATGCAGTATGGAAACTATTGAGACAAAAAGGGTTTTTAAATTTCTGCTTAACACAGAACTGTCACATTTAATTAACCAAAAATTCTCCTATCAGTTTTTACTGTATTGGAATCCTCATGCGGTGGAAGAGAAGGTTGAAATAAAAAATGCAACAGAGTCTTCGGAGCATGTGGGCTGGCTGTTACAGTGATCTTAATCCTGCTGTCTAAACAACCAAGGTAGAGAGTTTTTATTTGCAGATTTTATGTACTTGTAGCTTAAAAAATAGGGTGCTTCAATTGTTTCAAATGTGGGGGACTAGAAACTGTTTTGAGGGTTGTTGTCCATTCTCATAAGCTACATGGACACTGGTGTATGTAGGTACTGGGCCTTCAGCAGTGGGAATCTGGTTATGTTGACAGCTCCTCTTCCTTCTGGATTGCAGAACATTGTATTCTACAGTAGTTACATAGTTAATTTACTTAGGCTTTGAAGGGGATTGATTTTTTTGTCCATTTAAATTTTTTAAATGCTTTTTTTACCCACATATTGTTCAAAAGTTTCAAACAAACACATCTGTGTACTTGGGTTTGTTCTTAGACTATTCCACTACTCTCTGACTATTTCTTCATTGAGCCAAGGGAAGGAGCTCGAGTCATAGGACAGTACTTGGTCTCTGTGGACAAAATGCAGTTCCTATGAATAGCAGGAATAAAATAAAAGAAAGAGAGGATGTGTCATTTATAAAAATTATACAGTTGTGTCATTCATAAAAATGAAACGATGACACATACATAAAAATGACAAAATGGTTTCAAAGTAAATTCATCCCCTAATATGTGTGTTCAGCGATAGGTTTTGGCAGAATAATTCAGCTTGGACATCATACCAGTGCTGTCCTAGACTATGTATGGAGCAACACCATGGTGAAGTCCCAGTGCACACATGCATGATGTCAGTGGTCTTGTATATACACTTCAAAAATGAACACTGAGATGTTTTGCACATACCAGCATAAGGACAGGTCATTGAAAGGAAAACAATACGGTGCAGTTGGAGCAATTCTAAAAAAGTAATTTAGGCAAGCAGCACAATGCTTTGGCAGAGCTTAATTTCAGGAAGCCACTCCCTGCAATAGCATCCCAGTCACAGAGTGAAGAGCAAGGCTCCTGATGCAGTGCATGACAAAAGCCTGATGTGTCAGAGTGGGGCAAGAACAACTTGCACCTGGGACCAGGAGCTCACTAAGGTCAGCACACTGAGCAAGGAGTGGCTTGGTCACAGAAGATCTTGAGGGATGAAGCATGTCTCTGCTCAGAGCTTATTAACATCTTCCATGCTAATCATGACTGCTGGAGGAGGCTTTTCTCCACTGAGGACTGTTCATCTGGGAAGGTTTTCTGGACCTGTGGGCCTGCACCATTTCCTTCGAACGGGTGGACATGGTGGTGGAAGTGGCAATGTATTCTGCAGAGAAGCAGGCTGCATCGATTTCCCATAATGCAAAATATCCAGGCTCATTTTCCTCCTGTATCTGAAAAGATACCAGTTTGTATTTTCCTCAGTTCTGATCATACAAGAGCTGAACCAGGCTCCCAAGAACAGATGCCACAGTGTTAGACCCATACTCTTTTAGGCTTGAGAGATGCAGCCCCGAATTATGCAAGGGTAAGAAAGGAGCAGAGCACAGTTCTCCCTCCTGAATGATTTCTCCAAGCAGTGAGTGCTAAAATCCTTTGTTTTGGTAGAAGCAGCGCCCAGTCCTGTCAGAATAGCTGATTTGTGGATTTCAACTGCAAGTGCAAGTCTTATAACTGTTACCCCAAGAGCCCAGACAGTGCACAGCTAACACAGCCCCTCCAGGGATTAGCTGGAAAATTACTGGACTTCTGGCTCTCATTGAGACTTGCTGGGCAGAACTTTGAGGGTCTGCCAAAAACAAAAACAGCTGGGGAATTTGGACCTTCCACAGTTATGCAGAAGGTGGCTAAATTTCTCTCTGGCACTCCTTTCGACTCCTCTGATCTTCTCTGGACCTCACCAAGGTCACTAACAATGCAGCAAAACTAGTATTGGATTTGGATCTACTATTCACGCAGCTTACTGTCTAAAATAGGCAAGTAAACCAGTATAAAGAGAATGTTCAGTTTCCCATTTGGGAACTACATTTTGTCTGTCTGCAAAAGAAGCGGGGAGATAAAATGGAGGAGATAAGCATGACCTGCTATTGTTGGATCATCCTTCTGTTTGACTTTTGGGTGGGGGTTTTTTGTGACCCCTCAAAGAATTAGAGATTCAGAATTAGAATAATACGTATTTCCACAGTATGTACATGCATAAGCGAGTTATTAGTCCTGTCTCTACAAGGGTAAAACCCCTGTCATTATTATATATTACTTGCTATTTTAATCATTCAGAAAACAGAAGTGTCATAGAGACAGCAAAATACTAGCCTAAATTTTTGCAGTTCTGTTTCTGGTTTATTTATTAGTTCTAAAGTAATTCACTCTTTTCACCAACTCCCTTCTTCTATTCTCATATTTAAATTTATTTGGCTTATGTAAGACTACTCTGTCCTTGAAAAAAATATTTTGTGAAAGTCACTCTCCACACTGAGGCTTCTGTCAGCTTCCTTTAAAAATTATGTAAAAAGGGAAACTATTCACAGAGCTCTAAGAATTTATGCTCTTTCTATAGAGCATTAAATTATCGAAGACTGGACTCCAAAATGGATTCCCATATAAATGTATGTGATTTCAACAAAGAAGACTGCAGAAAACTTGTTTTTCTCTTTGCATTGAGAGAAAACAGTCATTCTTTTCCGTAGGACTATTTAAAATTGAATCTTCAAACATTTCCATTTTGAAGTAATTAAGCATAAATGCAATATAAGGCTTTCTTCTTTCTAAATTCCTCAAAAAGGACCACTGTCAATTAAAAGCCATCATTTATTTTTTTCAGGTTGAAAATGATGATTTTTCCTCCAGTGCCAGTTCCAAAGATTAAAGGAATTGACCCAGATCTCTTGAAGGTAATGTTGTGCTCTAAAATCTACAGTGGGAATCATTGTAGTAGTAGCAGGTGACAATTGTTGTTCCAGGCAGAAAAGTTTTGTAGGAAAAAATTCTGGCGTGGGGGTAGTTGCCACAGAATTAGTTTTCGTAAATTAATAAAAAAAAACCCTTGCAATTACTACACCAGCTACAGTTACCTTTCTTTAGGTTAACATCATAAAAAGCGCATGCATTTTTTTTATTTCCTTTATAAAATTCATTTTTTCTTGCTTTATAGAAAGGAAAGCTAGATGAAGTGAACTCCATCTTAGCCAGCCATGACAACTACAAGACACAGCTGTACAATGATGACTTGTGGGTTGAGTTCATTGAGTTGGACATAGAAGACCCTGACGAAAAGAACAGAGTCTCGGATACCGACAGGCTCCTGAGTGAAGATCATCTGAAATCACACAGCTGCTTGGGAGCAAAGGATGATGATTCTGGACGGGCCAGTTGTTGTGAACCAGATATTCCAGAAACAGACTTCAGTGCAAGCGACACATGTGATGCCATCTCTGATATTGATCAGTTCAAAAAGGTAACTGAAAAAGAAGAGGATCTCTTGTGCCTTGGCAGAAAAGATAATGATGAGTCGCTTCCAAGCCTTGCCGACGCTGACACCCAAGAGCCGCATGTGAGTACTCAGTCTGAAAACAGCCAGCTGTGGCCACCTTTTGCAGACAGCAGTGACTCAGCTAGTCCATCGGTCCATACCCAGCTAAGCAACCAGAATTCATTGACAAATACTGACTTTTACGCGCAAGTGAGTGATATTACTCCAGCAGGCAGCGTTGTACTTTCACCAGGGCAGAAGTCCAAGGTGGGGAAAGCACAGTGTGAAGGCTGCACAGAACAAAACTTCACGATGGACAACGCCTACTTCTGTGAGGCAGATGTGAAGAAATGTATTGCTGTGACTTCCCACGAAGAGGATGAGCCGCATGTTCAGGAGCAAAGCTGTAATGAGGATGCTTACTTCACCACAGAGAGCCTTACCACTACCGGTGTCAATCTTGGAGCTTCAACAGCAGAAACCCCAAGTTCAGAGATGCCTGTCCCAGACTACACGTCTATTCACATCGTTCACTCTCCACAAGGCCTTGTGCTCAATGCAACTGCGCTGCCTGTGCCAGACAAGGAATTCAACATGTCTTGTGGCTATGTGAGCACAGACCAGCTGAACAAAATCATGCCATAGCTCTTCTTTGACTAGGTGTGTGCAGTATTTCACAGCAGAGAATCAGCTCAGGCTTGTATGCCGAAACCAAAATGAAGTCTAAAAGTTTTTTGTGGCTCATATAGTTTTATCTGAAATGTTGCAACATAAAATACTCATCAAAATATTCCTATCGTGTTCTGTAAATACTATCTATGAATTTGTCTTGAGACTGTTTTACTAGCAGTGACTGTTTTGTTCTTGTGGGTGTTGATTTTTGTGATACTAAACATTGAAATTACTATGTTTAATGTACAGTGAATCATGCATTTTGATAAAGCTAAAAATCAGGTGGTTTAAGAATTTAGTAAAAACCGTGCTGTTGGCAGAGATCTTTATATCAGTAATTTGGAACTGAACATATAAGTGAAAAAACAAACATAGCTTGAATAAATAACACTTCTATTTTGATTTACATAAATTAATAAAATATATTTTAGTATTTTAGTCATAAAAACATAAACATTTTCTATTACAGTACACACTGTAGTTCAATTATGATGACCCATCTAAGGAATGTAATTGCTGCAATCTTAAAAAAGAGTTTTCTCTTTTATAAAAGTTTTGTTTGCAGCAAAACGAAAAACCAGATTTTTACAGAGCCATTTTATACCTCCAAAGAAACTTGTAGAGAAATTTTGAAATATGGTAGGAACTTAAAGTAGCTGATTCTATTACTTTCTTATGGTAACTAATATAGAAATAAACATTCAATTTAAAGTTTTGTAGAAAACTTTAAAATATACAAAATATGTGGGCAAATTATTCTGTTCTTCATCAGATTCTGGTTAATGCTAATAAAATACTTTTTTATAAGCAGAATTTTGTTGACCACAGTATTAAACAGTGTGCAAACTATACTTTCGACGAAAATTTTTGAGAACACGTTAATAAGCTCTGGTGACTTAGCAGCATGATCTCTTCACACTTGACGAACTTCTGAAGCCCTCCTACAACCAAATGTATCACTACATTTATTAGTTTGCACCACATAAAATCTTGCTTAAAAATATAAGGACTTCAGGAGTTAGCCAGCAGTGCATTTTTAAAGATATAACAGAATTAAAAGACTTCAGTGGAACAAGGGGATCGAATACAGTATTGTTCAAAAGTGATTTTTGTTTTTGCAGCCTAAGAGCATCTCCTCTGACCGCATTTAGGCAGACTTTCAGATGGAAAGGAGAGAAAACTCAGTGGGAAAGTTCTCTTTGTTCTTACGTATATTAAGAACTTGGCGGAGCTTTGCAATGAACTATTACTGCTTCAGAAGTTAACCTTCCTAGGCCATGGTTTCAGGGTAACAGGATTCTTCTTAGAAAGCAAACAGGGGCGTTCATTTCTGTTCTCTGAACAGAAATGTATGAAGTGCAGCGAATCCAGGTCTTGCTCATGATGTCTCCCACTGAACTCGCTGATGCTCTCTCTGTGACCAAGGGCTAAGAACTGGGCCCAACTATTGGGTGGGATTTTTAAGTTTAGCAAGTACTTTATGGTAAATGTGCATTAGATATTCTGCTAATTTGCTGCTATATTTTTCTAACAGCTACATTATTTAGTTTCATATAAAATTTCGTAGATGATAGACACTAATGCAAGTAATGCCTATGTGTGTGTTTGGAAGAAGTTTCTTACTCTGTTTCTATTGCCAAAAATAGTTAAATACCTCAATCAAACTCAGAATGTCATTTTGGTACTTTACTGGTCACACAAGCCATTATACGCAGGTCAGAAGACGTGTCTTTCAGTTTCTATTTAACTTTCTTTATGTCGGTGTTTTGTTTGTTTTTCTCAAAGTTTAATAAATGTATTGTCTTTGATCTGTCCTGACACAATGTGTTTTATTGCAGGTTATTAATTTTTTTCATGGAAAATAGAGATTTTATTAGGAGAAATCAAGTATTTCTCATTGAATAAAGTAAAATTCATCTTTCCTTAGAACAGAAGCAATGCCTAATGAGATCAGTGTTTTCACTGATTGAGATATATATATAGTTAAAAATAGCAGCACAGACCTAAATTTATAGATGGAGATAGGACATGCTGTACCCAGAACCAGCCAAGACATGTGTTCCTAATTTAGCAGTTTACCAGTTTACCTTTGGCTGGAACGGCCTGTGGTTGTGAATAAATAAGCTGCAGTAGTTCAAAACTTGCACCTACAGTTGAATCCACAAATCAGATATTCTGACAAACCTCAGTAGTTACTTGTAGTGGTAGTTAAAACCTAACAACATATGAACTCTGAAATTTCAATCAGAAATATCAGATAGTCTGTCTCTGTGGAAAATGCCGTTATCTTGACTGTCTCCCAGTGTGTAACTTAGTAATGTACTACTGCCTCTCTTCCCTCTAGAGGTAGGAAGGGACCTGTTGGACAAATACCACTAGACAAGGGTAAGCCCTTTCCTCCCAAGGGAATCAGGGTGTAATTCAGTTCCTCCACACAGACGTCCAGTGCCATTTAAGATTCATAATCAGGCTTCCAAGTGCTGGTCCAGAACAGCACAGGTCTTGTGTAGACTCTGGCTTATCTAAAAGCCTGAATGATGGTGGATGCCTATGTTTTGACAGTTGATCCCCAGTGGAAGAAAACAGCTCCAGGAATGTAAACATCTTTGTGTCAGGTAGGTCTAAGTTACCATTATAGTTAATAGTCTAAACAGCTACTTAGCTGACTAGATATAGGTGTCTGTTTAGGTGAACTGATTAGGGCTCTCCACTCTTCAGACTAGAATGGAAGCATGGGCATCTTGCTCGCATTCAGACACTAAATATATTTGTTAATTAAGGCGTCTTGATGTTGATGGGAATTTCACCTTAGCCAAACCTTTGAATAAGGTAAGCCAGAGAGGGGAACTGGTATTCTCTTATGGTTTATACTGTCTGTAGAAAAACTCAATGCAAATGAACTATCATCATGAGTAAGTATGCTTGCTTATACCTCCTGCTTGAAGAACTAAGCTTTGGAAGGCTTCTGCCTTTTTATAAGGCTCTAAAAATACCTGAGCTCCAGTGGGACTTGGAGGATTCACAGCTGGACTTTAAGAAACAGCAGTGAAGACAGTGGTTCACCACTGCCGTGTGGGGAACTCCAGCTCCCACTACTCTCACCTGTGTCAGTTCCAGTGCGCTCTGCTCCTTCATGCAGCTCACTCATGCAGATAAGAAACAGGCAGAACACGCAGCTCAAGGTAGATGTGCGTTTTCAGGGAGATGGTGTAATGACCTCTTGGTGGTAACTGTCACCTCGGTCAGCTTAAAGGGACCATGAAAAGCCAGCTTTGAGCTCCTTCCCGCCTCCAGCAGCAGTGCAGCTCAAGTAATCACATGACTAATGACCTCAGTCTGTGTGTACAGTTCATATGAGGGTGTTTTCAGAAGAGAAATCCACGTGTCAGACTTGCAGTTGTCTCTGAACTTTACGTTTTATACTGGCAATCTGCTGTTTTCCTACAGAACACAGCAACCTATTAATTGAAGATATGATGCACTTGCCAGATACAGAAAAGCTTGTATTACATGGTTGCAAAGCAATCTGTTCATTTACTTCCACTGGAGAAAAGTGTATATGTGCTTTCGAGAAAGAGCTTCTGGAAGAGTAATTTTTTATCTTCTCTGTTACTCACATTGAGAAATAATGCTACATACTGTCCCAATGCCAAACATATGAGTCAATGTAAAAGTAACAATTCATTATTTTAGAAATGCTTACTGAAATTGTACTTTGCAAGTTTAATCAATGTCTAAAATGTACAAGGTGAAAAGAAACAGACATCACAGACAGACACTGTAAGCAAGGAGTATTTTGGTGCTAAACCCAGTAACATTCACTGCCTCGAAGCTTGTGACAGGTAAACTGGCCGCACTTGTTCGCATTCTTGGAAAGGCATTTTACTCATATATTGCCTGGCTGAGGCTAGTCTATGTGAATATTTGTATTCAGAAACCATGTTGCTTCCCAAAAGCAAGGAGGACTCAAGTTGTTCTGCTGGCTACCTATTGGTGTCATCAAGAAGCATACCCCGCTGTGGAGGATTTTGGTTTTGAGCCTCTTTTCTCCATCAAAGACAATGTGCATTTCCAAGGCTTCAAGTTACTGTTAAAAGAGACTGAAACAGCACCATCTATACCAGTTGCCATTAAGATAAATAATTTTTTCAAACATAATGACTTAGACTTCTATTCTTTACTACTTGAAATATTTTTCCTGACATGGTACAGGAGGTGAGATCAGCATATTATGAGATCTGTTCACTCTTTCTGAATGAAAATTACCAAAGGTATGTTTTGTATTTCAAAATAGTTGTAGTATTAGAGATGAGTGTTCTATAGACTTGCCATAGTTTTAGAAACACTTCAAGTTAATGATGGCAGTCTGTGTTGGGAACACTGCTGCCATGCACAGCTTAGTATATACAACTATGTATGCATGAGCGCAGTTGTAAGGATGTGAAATAATGCTGTGGTTCAAAGAGAAACTTGAAACCATCTGACATGTAGCCACAGGAAACCTTTTTTTTCCTGCACTGAGGTATGCTGTATCTCAGGGGTTCATTACCAGACACCTTAGAAAAACGAGTGCCAGAACTTGGGTTGCCTGATTTGAGAGGAAAAGGGATAAAAAGTTTAAAGCGTGTTGTTATTTTTGTTAAAGAAGCAATGCAAACTTGGGGGGTGGGCAAAGAGGTAAACACTACAGAATATTACTTTTTCATTACACATTCTCCAGTTCTAATTCAGAGTATCATAGTTTACCAAGACGGTGGAATTGGTAAGAATTTAACCAGCTTTTATAGCCAATTGACTATGAGGAGATACCAGTGGATGTATTTCTCTCTTCAAACTCCATCTATTTAAATGTAATTTCACACTACAAATTCTTCTTTCTCACTAATCATTATTTATTACATACATAGTCAGTGCTTTAACTGCCATAGAAACCATGCCCTCAGGCCACACAGAAGCAAGATGTAAGCCAAATCCATTCAGTGATTGGTATATTACTTAAGCACTCTGGCATAACTGTATTGAGCATGCATTTTCTCACCTTCTCTAATAAGGGCTATTAGAGAGAGCAGCCAATATTCAGAAACAGATGGAATAAAAAAGAAACAGTGGTGTTTGAGAACCAGGCGCAGTGGACCAGCTGCCAGGAGTCAGCTACAGGCAAGGTAATCAGCTGTAGGTGGAGCCACAGGAGTGGTGCAGATGACAACTGTAGTCAGTAGTTGTAATGAAAAGCAGATGCAGCTATTAAAACTGATGCACCTAGTATATGGACACAAATGTTTGACAGGTTTAATATTTTTCACTACAAGCTTTGCTATTTCTTTTGCATAATATGAACTCCTTTATCCTAATATATTAAATTCAGCTGCTTAATCACAGAATCACAGAATCACCGAATGGTAGGGGTTGGAAGGGACCTCTGTGGGTCATCTAGTCCAACCCTCCTGCCGAAGCAGGGTC